CCTATTGGCATGATCATGGCGTGCTCTAGCTGTAAGATTGGAGCAATGCGCGCACTTCTGCATCAGATGGGCCTCACCTAGACACTTTATGCACGAGGCGTGATCGTCAGAATGGGCATAGCCTCTCAGCAGGACTCACACTGTTTGAAGCCTGGTGATCCATACCTTTTGGCTTGTCTGACAGTTTAGGTCTAGGAGGCAAGTAGTCCTGAGGTGGCTGAAGCGACTTTTCGTAAAGATAGGTCTTCAGCCTATTGGCATGATCATGGCGTGCTCTAGCTGTAAGATTGGAGCAATGCGCGCACTTCTGCATCAGACGGGCGTCTCCTAGACACTTTATGCACAAGGCTTGCCTACCAGAAACAGGCATAGCCTCCTTGCAGGGCTCACCATTTAAAGCCTGGGGGGTACAGGCATGAGGAAGCACGAAGTCCAGGTGAATGAAGGAAAAAAAGACTTTTTTTTTTTAAGGTAGCGGGTTGCGTGTGATTCAAAACTTGGAATGTGTGTGTGTGTGTGTGTGTGTGTGTGTGTGTGTGTGTGTGTGTGTAGAAAAAGGAGCAAGAGAACAGAGCTCTACCATCCTCAGCGGCAGACAGAGAAGGAACCGAGGGGGCCATGCTGCACGTGTGCCTAACAGACACCAACAGCATGAGGAGGCGCCAGGGCGTGAGAGGAGGTAGCAGGGCACTGCTAGGAAAAAAAAAAAAAAAAAAAAAAAAAAACCAAAAATCTCTGGTCACCGGCGTGAGGAGACACTAGCACCCAGAGTGGAGTACCCACAGGGACATTACTCAAAAAAAGGAGCTAGTCCTTAATGTCTTTGCAATATTTTTTTTTCCAGGGGAAAGGTTGAGCAAGATGTTCCCAAAACAAAATGTAGTTAATGCTGTGCTTTAATGGTGTCTTGACTGTTTTGTCTTTCCTTAAACTGCCATTGAGCCATCACCAAAGACAGCACAGCTGATGGTGTTCTTCCTCCCACTGACCTTTTTCGAATAGCCTCACAAACCTATGTCTACACTACGGAGTTTTTCCGGAATACCAGAGGTATCCCGCAAAAACTCCACCACGTCCAGGGAATGCATCTACTCTTCTGAAATTCTCAGAAGAGCAGACGTGCTCTTTTGTAAGCCCCGTATTCCTCATTTTATGATGAATAAGGGCTCCTCTGAAAGAGGTTTTCCCCCACATTTGGCCCCATATAGACAGGCCAGAAAAGCCTCTTCTGAAAAAAGTATCGGAAAAAGGTACGAAAATTGCAGTTCACAATTTGCATACCTTTTTCTGAAAAAAACCCCAACAGTGTAGACGTAGCCTAAGTGTTGGTGGCCACGGGGGGATACTAGTATGTTCAACCCCCGCCCCCCCGATAGGCAGCAAGAGGAGCCTGGAATTAATCCACTAACTGGAGGAATCACAGGAGCCCAACAAGTAGATTTGGTATCCCAGGAAAAACATCAGCATACCACTGCCCAGGAGTTGGAGCTGCAGCATTAAAGACCAGTAAAAAGCATTTTCCCGCATCAGTACTTAAGAGTTAGCTCCAGGTAATATGGCAGGGATGAGACATGCACCTTGTACAACAGTTGCACAGCTAAAGAATGGAGGTTCCACATTTCATACAATTACTAAGCAGTCACACTGCTTCTGTGGGAAAACAAGCTTTTTTTTTTTGTTTTGGCTAGCTAGGGGGAAGCTCGCTTTGGCAAAGTCTACAGCTAGGGCTTACCGTTGTGTATGAGACTCACACATAGTACAGAAAACATTAATACAAATAAATGTACATGCAAGTCGGGTCACTAGCACTTTGCTACCTTAACACGCACAGATCCGCAAGTCACCATTAACAAGAAAGGAGATCAATTTAAGACAAACTAAGGAGTGAAGTCTATGGCACAATTTGTGCCCAACAGCAATAAAGTGGGCTTACAGGCAACAGTGCATACACAAGGACTTCAGAGTGATGTATGTAGGACTTATCCTATCTAGGGTTGATGGTGGATTCTGGGCATACAGCAAACCTTCTTACCACTTCAACCACTGCAAAGCAAGATTGTTCTAACCAAAAGCTCAGAAGTACAAGGGACAGGCCTGCGTAAGGCAGTGAAGTGACAGTCCCCTTAGACTGAAAGTGAAAAAGCACATAGCAGGGATAAGCAGAAAGACTGTATCTATAGATATGTACATAGCAGTAATGTAAATAAGTGTATGGTTTTTATAAGATATTATATAAAAATCGATAAAAGCATATTTTTAGTTAAAAAAGTGTTCCACAGCTTTTTGTAAATAGCTCTCTTCAGAATAAAATGGATCATTTCTACAGTACTGTGTCTGGGCTTTGCTCACTGGTTATTCTCTGAACCTAGAGAGCCACCTCACCCTAACCATACTCAGTACATCTCACAATCTCAAGCAATTTCAGCCATGTCCTGCTCTTCCAGGTGAATAGGGCAGACAAGCCCATTTATTTGGAGCATTCACACCTTCAGCTTCACACTAGAATTGGAAGGGACCTTGAGAGGTCATCGAGTCCAGTCCCCTGCCCTTACTGGCAGGGCCCAGTACCGTCTAGACCATCCCTGATAGATGTCTATATAACCTGCTCTTAAATATCTCCACAGATGGAGATTCCACAACCTCCCTAGGCAACTTATTCCAGTGTTTAAGCACCCTGACAAGCAGGAAGTTTTTCCTAATGTCCAACCTAAACCTCCCTTGCTGCAATTTAAGCCCATTGCTTCTTGTCCTATCCTCAGAGGCCAGGGAGAACAATTTTTCTCCCTCCTCCTTGTGACACCCTTTTAGATACCTGAAGACCACTAACTAAGGGAAGGTCTACACTTAAAACACTGCAATGGCACAGCTG